AGCGCCCAGATGTCTTTGCCCAGATGTCAGGAGGATCTAAGACGGCTGCAAATCTTCCCTGGGATTAGTCAGGATTGTGTCCAACCCAGTCTGCAGCGAGGGGCAGACGTTGTGTTTGACCATGGTAGCAGCTGAAGCAGCCAAAGATCACAGCTCGCAGGGCTGCCGAGCGCACCAGCAGCACAAAGAAAGCTTAACCCTTCATCAGCTGCTCGCTGTTGCAGGACTGCCATTCAGTACAAAGTTTTAAAAAAGGTTGAAGGACCTTAAGGACCTTAAGGCTTAAAGGAGAAGACCTCCCCCAAATGACTCTTATTGCCTAAAAGGCAACAGGATAGTGAAGAGCACCAAAACCAGGGCTTTTCCCCGCACACCCAAACCGAAATCTCAATTTCCAGGAGGAAAGCTCAGATTTCCTCTTTGAAATTGAAATTTGTGGTTGATGGAGGCAGCATCAGTCAAAGGGACTGACCAGACTTATGTGATACTGACTACACACAGGGAATATATTGTGAAAATTAGATTTAAAATGGGCTGAATTCCTTCTTAAATGTTGAGGGTCAGAAACACCATAAACCTCTCTGTGTTTGGTCAGTAGACATGACCTGGAATTCCTAATCTGCTGGAGATAAACCAAGCTAATAATCAACCCTCTTCTTGCAGTCATTCAAATATTCATGTTTCCTCACTGGCTGTAATGAAGCTACGGTTTTGGGAGTAGTTTCACCCTCCTCTTCACATGATGGATTTCATCTGGCTCTTGTTAAAATATGCTTATATGTAACGCACTGAAGTAGCATGGCTGAACTCCTGGCTTCTCCTCCAAACCACCCTCCGGTGAGGACTCTGGAAGGGATCGTGTCTCCTCCCCGACTTCCAGGTTTTCACCTGTTGCCTTTGTTTTTTCTCCTTTGTTGAATCAGCAACCCACAAATGACCACGTGGCCCGAGACTGTGCCTCAAAATGCCCCAAAACACTGAAATCATTCCCGTCTATAAACAAGTGGTTTTGGCATGTGTAAAGCTGCACCGTGTGTGTCATTACCCACAGCTCTCAGATCGCTGGGCTTGTCTGTACAAGGCAGCAAGCTGCTGAGAAATAAAGGTGGTCCCGCATTTGGCCGCTCACGTGTTGTTTATCAAAGCGATACTGGAAGCTCTGATAGAGATTCCATGGCATGAAACACATCCCATGGAGGCCAAGGGATTTGACCCAAACGGTAGGATTTATTTTGCTTTCAATTCTTCTATTTTAAGATTGTTCTTGCACTGGACATTCTGTACCAGAGACCAGATAGAAAGAAAGAAAGAAAAAAAAAAAGTCAGACACAATAGAATTAATGGAAACAATGAGTTTCACAGTACTAGAGAGGTAATGGTGGGCAAAGCAGGGAGTTTTTAAACTTGCTTCTGCATGCTGTGGATAGAAGGTAGCTCTATGTCATTTGAGAAATGTCTTTCTCAAAACATATGAAACTAATCAAAACATAGGAAGTTCCATCTTAACATGAGAAGGAACTTCTTTACTTTGAGGGTAGTGGAGCACTGGAACAGGCTGCCCAGAGAGGTGGTGGAGGCTCCCACTCTGGAGACATTCAAAACCCGCCTGGACGCTGTCCTGTGCAACCTGTTGTAGGTGACCCTGCTCTGGCGGGGGGGTTGGACTAGATGATCTCCAGAGGTCCCTTCCAACCCTAACCATTCTGTGATTCTGTGATTCTGTAATCGTGGTGTCAGATTATGGGACAGGTGTGGTGGGACATCTAGGGGAGAGGCTCAACAGTGAAGTGGCAGGTGGAGAGTGTGCCTTGTTGGAAGGGTCAACCACAAAGTGTGGCCACTTTCCCCACCATGTGCCACTAGGGCCGGGTGGAGCACAGCAGCTTCTGGTGTTGGAATCCCAGGGCAGGAGAGGGGGAGCAATGGGAATAAGTGAGACCCAGGCCTGACTGAGAGGGAGAGGGACGCAGATCCATGTGTGAGTATCGTACTCAGTGCATGACCCATGAGAGATGTGCACCAAGGTCCTCACAAGATAAAATTTATCCCTGGTACCATCCATGGAAGAGTTTTCTAAGTGCAAATATGAAAACATCTCTCAGCTCCTTCAGGGAATGGGCTCTGTGGAGATCTAACCCTTGGCATCCAGCCATCCTGTTTCTTCTCACTGTGTTCCTGATGCCTGCAAGGTCTTGGTCCTGATCTTCCAGGAACCAGTTACAGCAGTGATCACATTTCTACCCATATCTCACCAAATCTCCACCAGGGACTCAGCAATGTGTGGAGTCTGTGCTCATGTATGAGCTTGATGGCCTAGTTATGGAATGAATTTCCTGAGATTGGCAAGTGAAGATTCTGATCACCTTCAGGATCACCACTGAAAAATTTTCTTCTTTAGAAGAACCTCAGGTGGTTCTTCCTGAAATTGGATGAAGGAAGGAAGGCTCATTGGAATGATATAACAAACAGATAGAAGGAGGAAGAAGAAAGGATGCCTGATGACTAGATATGAAGTCCTCCACAGGAACTGCTGTAAAGCCAATACTGAAGCCAGAGTTACCACCACTTATGTTGCTTACCTAGTGAGCAACTAAGCCATCAAGCTGAAGTACCTGTGAGTCTGGTTTTGGGACAAACTTCATATCAAGGAAAAGGCCAAGCCATAGTCAGCATTTTAGAGATTGCTCAAAGATTCCCATCTGAGGATATGGCTATGTCTCACTTTTTTATGCCTGAACCACAACCTCTATCCATTTCCTCAGCCCTTATGACATGTCAGATAATTGGTGCTGGGAAGATAAAGTGATCCAGGGTCCCTCCTAGAAAGGCTCTGCCATAAACTGCTGCAAGATTTGTAGATCAGACTGTTCAGGGGCAAAATAAAGGCTTGGAGGTTTCAGGTCTCTTTTGGGGTTGCTGAACTCAGTCCCTTGCACATATGGCTAGGAATTCCTCTGGGGATCTATTTGACCTAGCCTTTTTGGGATGTACTTGGATATTGGAACAATTCAAGATACACAGATTACTGTGCTGTAGAAGCTCTTATGACAGGCCAGAACCGGTGAACAATTGTTCAGCATCCTCATGGGTATGCTGAGCCTGTACAGCCACCCTCCAAGTAGTTGTCTCTGGAAAGTGAGAGGAGCAGTAGGATGGGATTTATGAGTATTGATGTTCAATATGCTTCAGTCCCCTTTAAGACACTGAAATCAGAGCCAGGTATTTCTGAAGCTCTCGGTAGCTGTTGCTGTGACACACATGGCTGGATTTTCCAGTGGGGAGCGGGGTCAAACATTTAAAGAAGTCTTTAAATGTGGCCAGTTATTCTAGTGCCTACGTGGGAATGAAACACTTGAAAATCCTTTGCTAAGTGTGAGACCCATCTGCACTGGAAGCAGAGCTTGTGCGTGCACGTGTGTGCAAGGCAGAGGAGGAGGGAAGGAGCTTCTGTCCTGGACTTTCTAATGCACCCTTTATCTACAGGACTGAGACAGCACATTGGCAACCCAAGGTCATTATTTCAACGCCTACAGGGAGTTTAAAACCCCAGTTATCTGCCCGGAGGGCAGAGGCTGGAGGTGTTTCTCTCACAGCTGTGTCCCTCTGCTCTGCTCATGAAAACTCTTCCTTAAGCCCACTGTACACTGAGGTTTGGCTGATGGGCTATTCGGGAGCACTCGGCTGAGCCCACGCCCTGTCCTGTTGACAAAGAAGGCACAAATGAAACCTAAGCCAGAAGCAGGCGGAGGGATGGTCTCCTCTGGGAGAGCTTGGACGAGGAACAACACATCTCCATAAAGAACAGAAAGGGAAACCAAGCCCTAAACGAACTATGACCACCCGGGCAGAATAGGGACAGAATAGGAGAAAGAGGGAAAGGACATGCTGTGCTTTCCTCTCCTAGTGCACAGAGAGACTCTCATGTGGGGGAGAGGACAGGGCAGGAGGGAGGAGAGGAGACCTCTGAAGACACTCCCTATATAAATGAGATGAACGGCAGAGGCTGGAGTCACCCACTGGCGTCTCCCGTCCCAGGGCTGGGACTGCGGCTCTGCCCATTTCTCCCCATTCCTCAGGGAGTTTCCATCAAGGATTAGGCTGTCCTTCCCCTTTCTCCCTCTGCTTCCTCCGTGGTGTTTTCCTCCAGCCTGCAGCACAGCTTGGCTGCGAGGTGGAGGCAGAGGTTGATGGGGTGTGTGTGGGCCATGAGGGGCTCCGCTCACACCAGTTTGCTCGGTGGCAGAGGTATCCCTGCCCCGTCCCCTCCCCGTGCAGAGAGGGGGCTGGAGCGAGGGGGTGGCCTTGTGGGATTTTTCGGGGTGTTTGCAGTTGGCTTCTCCCCCTCACCGGAGCCCAGCTGTGCGCACAGTCCTGCCCAGGGGTACAGCACCTCGGGGGGGAAGCAGACCTGGGGGTCACTCTGCAGCAGCTCCGGGCAGTGTTCGATGCGCAGCTTGGATGCTGCATTAAACAGAAGGGGACAATGAGAGAGTGGTGAAGGACTGGTGATGGGCAGGTGGGCAGACACTGATTTATTTAAGAGAGTTCTGCAGGGAAACTCCTGGCAGATCCCACACTCAGACCTGACCCACACCCTCCTGACCAGGTCCCAAAACTGTCCCGTGCTCCTGGGCTGTGAATCACAGCAGTGAGTGTTTTCTCCAAGCCTCAGCTCTTTCTCTCCTTGCCTTTTTATAGCAGATGAAACATCCTGTTACCAAACTGTGCATTTTTAACCCAGCAGTTAACTTTCATCCCCTCTCGATGACTCTCCCAGAGGGTCTTTCGTCACCCTCCGATAAGAAGGTCGGTGAATGGGAGCGAGGGGCACAGAGGTCTGAAGCGGATGTTTCTTGTGAAGTGAGTCACAAGAGGAGCTGGATTTCAGCCAGGAGAGGCTGCAGGGTGAAGCACACGTACGACGGCCCCTCTCGCTTAGGCTAAGGTGAGCCGAGCTTCTGAGAAGCAGCTGCCAGAGCACGGACACAACGCAACCCCCCTCCACTACGGGACTTTTCTTCCTTTGCTTTTCTCTGATGCTGTGAAAAGAGCTAAACGTTCACCCCGCTCTCCCTTCCCTTCCTGCACGCTTGCTGTTAGTGGCGCAGACCTTGTGCTTCACGCGCGTTTTATCACCTTTTCATCAGGGCACGGGAAAGTTCAGGCTCACGCTGGGAAACACACGCTTGGATGAGGATGACGCCGCCGGGACGTGGCAGGGCATCAACAGCCCCCGGGGTGCTTGGGGACGAGGGCTGTCCGCTGGAACTACTGACATGCCGAGAAAAGGTGTGTCTAATCCACTGCCCGGCTCCTCTGCCTGTACACGCTTGCGTGAAGCTGGTATGCGGCGACGGCACTGTGTGTTCTCGGTGGCTGCTTTCAGGAAACCCGAGCGAGTGGTCACGCATGTTTTCACCGATAAGGATCTCACCGCGCCCATGCAGAGGGTGCAGCCCCGGTGGTAAAGAGGAGCGGGGCTGTGACTCCTCGCTTTCGATCTAAGGCACTTAGTCAGTGCCTCGGTTTCCCCAGCTCTAAAATGGGGTTAGTAATACGGCGTTGAGTTTTTGTGTTTCTCAGGTGTGGGGTTTCACAGGCAGCTATAAAACAGAATTTATTGTACTGAGGAGAGGTTGCTTTGAGAGCCTGAAAAGACTGTCTTGAAATGCTTATTTTTATTATTTATTGCATTGGAGCACTTGAAAAAAAATGTTTTAAAGGAGCGTATGCAAGCATCATATCTGTGTGTATAGTATACACATACACAGACACACACAGAGTTTTTACTTACTGATCCTTTAAGCTCTTACCTACTAGAAAATACCTTTGCTTTCCTATTGCCTTTTAATCCTATACATTGCCTGCTTGAAAAATCACAGGTTGCTCAGAAGTCTTACTGTATTCCTTTGGGTTACTGAGCTAACTCCAAGGTAAATCCTAGGGGTTTGTGACCATATGAGCATGGCTGGAGTGGTACATTACAGCTGACACGTACTGCCCTGTAATTCATCTGTGTACACATCTCATGTCTGAGGAGCACTGCTCTGGAGATGAAGACACTTAGAGGCCATGAGTGGTGGTGTATGAGCAGGAAAATGGAGGGGGTAACAACCAGGAGGGAGCAGTGGGAAAGGTTGGACAGATAAGCCCATGGAGTCTTCCACAGTAGCAGAAGACCTCTTAGGAAAACCCCTTTTGAAGGTCTCCATCACCTCTGGCTCTGAGCCGTGCCTGTCGGACAAGCCCCTGGCTCTGAACACGACTGTCGCACCACTGACCGCTTGCTTGCAGTTAGGTCCATATTTCATGCATTAATGTGCAGCATCACTGCTTCCCTCTTGCTCAAGGCCCTCTGCTACACTATATATTACACTTTGTGGAAGTAAAGGGAGGACACAACCCTTTCCTGCTCACGGGACTGCGACCTCATTGGGGTGTTGCTGCAAGAATGGTTTTGTAGGTAGACGGCTGAAAACAAGCTATGATCCTGCCAACAGTGGTGGTAGTTTCTATCGCTCTCTGTAATATAACGGCTTGCCTTTAACGGAGAGCCCAGACCACCTTGTGTTAATGAGTAATAAAAGCAATCGACCCATAGTGCATTTGTCTCTTAGCTAGGAGTGTGTGTAGACGAGGTGATAAGGCTGTTACATTTGCAAAGTTATGCCACGTTGATACCATGCAGTTTAAGAGCCTTACAAGGCCAAGCTCTGACAATTAAGTATTAGGATACCCTCATGCTTTTCTTAGCGTCAAAGTACTGCAAATGTTAGGTTAGCCAAGAGAATGAGATACAGTTAGCATATATAGTACAGCCTACAAATCCATTTGAAAGCTACACTGAGTCATGTCAGCCAGGTTTTAGGCTATACAAAGACATCTTGGGAGGTTATTTTGGGAGAACTGTTTTCTGAAGCTGAGGGGACATCTGTCATGCTCAGCTAGGAAAGCAGAGTATGATGAGAAACTGCTACAGACTTTGCTCCACGAAGCTGCTGACTTGTTTTAAATAAAGAGTATTAAATATGTACCTTGCCAGTTTCTACTGAATAAGAATACTGTATTCTTTCTAATAACTCCAGCAGTTAGTATGGGACTGTTTGGGGACACGGGCCTAATGAAGGACCAGATATTGGATTGGCCTCTCTGTCAGGTGAAAATCACAAACCATCTTCACTGTGTCGCGTGCTCTGGAGCACCAGGGAAAACTGGAGGATCCTGACCTGCTCTGCCGCCGAGGCCAGGATGCTCGTGAGCCCTGAGCTAGATGCAAATGGTCGGTGTGAAGCCACTTCCCGTCCCCCGGTGACTCACGGCCAGGGAAGCGCTGGCATCCTGCTCCGGGAAGGGTCACTCGCCTGCCCTGCCCTGCAGGGAGGGTGAACACGGGGAGGTGGATGGAGCATGGACAGCAACACAAATTGCTGGGCATGCGGAAAATCAATAAGACTTTGCCAGGACTGCTGGGACAGCTATGGAGGGATGGAGAGAAGCACAGGCAGCACTGGCACCTCGACATGCTGCCTTCATCCCTTAGTGGATTTTGCTCCTTGGGCTGACATGCATGGACATCTGATGTGCTAAGCTGGAAGAACAGAGTATGACGTGCCTGTTACTTCAAAACACCACTCTGGCTATTACCATGGCCCTGCTGTTCCCCTGGGAGCTTTTTGCTTTCCACCTCTGTCATGCTTGTATTCGGCACACTTTTGCTGTGCACCAAATGAGGAAAAATGGCCCCATTCTCCCCAGCGGGGCTTATCCTCTCTGAAAGAGGCTTCTATTTGGGTGCAGGACAGAATGAGAAGGCAGGGAGGTTCATATGGCTCTACTACACTTCCTGCCTAATCCAGGCTCTGCTACTGTCAAACTCTGCTCTTGCTGCCTCTAACGACTTAATTTTGTTTGTGGGAAGGCTCTCTCAGATTTTTCAGGCCTTTCCTGAGCTCAGCACACCACTTCTTCTGAGTTACCACTAATAACAACTGCCTAGGATACCATGTTTTGAAAACTGGGGCAGCCACAGGTTAATTAATACAGTGCAAGACAAGTATTGGAAAATTATGCATATTGTCAGTACCTGTCTCATATCAATGCAATCTATATATATGTGGCTAATGAAAGTCATTATCCTTTGTGGGACCTATGTGGCCAATGCCACATCCCTGTGGATGTCCATTTGGATACCAGAAAACTCAGCAGAAAGCATCATACCCACATAACCGTATCAAGACATACATCTGGCAGAGAAGGAAGAAGAAAAGTTCCTTACTTGTGAGATTCTAAGAATGGAGTTAGAAATCAGAGAGCAGAAAAGCTAAAGGAGCAGAGTCCTGTGTACCCTGGCTTTTTGACCTGGGACTTCTGTTCCCTACCTAGTGTCTCCCAAAGGATACACTTGAGGACCTCTTCTATGGTGTGACCTCTGAGGAACGGAGTGATCCTGCGATCAAGGCAAAAGATTGTTAACTCTGACAGTAAAACTGCCTCATGAACTTATGATAGGAATTATACGGGTTATATATTGTAAGAATAATAAACTTCTTATTGCTATTGTATTTGGAGGGAAATCTCGGGGAAGAGAAAGCAAGCTTTGAGCAATTCTGTAAAAGTACCGATTGGCTCCATCTGGAGGTGACAGCTGAGATGACAGACACCGTCCGTGTGGGCAGGCAGATTGTAAGCAGAGCTGAGAGCAGAGCGAGAAGCTGCTCCTCAGCCCTGTGTTGAAGCCTTGCCCGCTAAAGGCAGGTCTCCAGACTTTTACGACTTCTCTTTTCAAAACTGAAGATCATTGAGGATGTGATGGTTTCTGTGCATTTGTACCTGTGGGATGGGAGGAATTTCCAGTCTCGCTCACTGTTGGTTTTCCTGGAAAGTGCTCTGGAGCCCCTCTGGGTTTCTCAGTGCTGCGTGAGAGAAGGCGTTGAGGGATAAGCCTCCTTACAAAGGTCCCGTCCTTCTGTCCCCGCAGCCTCTGTGACCCCTGCTCACCCAGGGAGTCCTGCAGGAAAACGGGAAGGTTGCAATGACAGTAAGTGAGCAGGCGAAATCCAACCAAACAAAACCCTCCAAACTGGCACTGGCTTGAAATGTTCAAGATTCCCACATGGGAACTGGGCCCAGACCATGAGCAAATTGAAATCCAGGGCATTAGAAATACCTAGATTTGGCTTAAATGCAGAAATCAGAGCTCCGTGTCTGAGCTGGGATGGTTGTCGGTGTTGGCTCTGAAGGCCCATGACTGCTGCCTTTTCCCCTCCCTTTCTAGTGACATTCCTGCATTGAACTAGATCATCCCAGCATCAGAGGCCGACAGGGTAACCAAAGGGCCTAGGATCTACACCAAGACACTTTCTAGCTGCCCACTGCTAAGGCATGAACCAATGTACAGGAATAAACACGTGTGTGCACATGAGAGCTCTTCTGTGTGTCCCTTAGCAGGGCTCAAAACTTCTGCCCCGAAGAACAAGTTTTGATTCTTTTTTTTTCAATCCCTGCTTTGCCAAAACCCGCAATGATACCTCTTTTCCTTGCAAGTCCAGGACTCTGGTTACCTGCGTGCCACTTCTGCACAGCCCCATTTCTCTTCAGCCAGGCGTGACAAGGGCTTGAACTGTGCAGGGCGGATTGGCTGCAGCGGCTCCCGTGGGCGCTCTCGCCCTCCTCCCGTCCCCGTTGCAGGTCAGCATTGCTCCTGCGGCCGTCACTAATGGATGGCATCTGCAGAAGTGAAAAGTTCCCGCTGTTCATGGCCACTGGAAGAGGGTGGCAGTGACCTGGGACACTGAGGTTCTGCCTCTAGCGCACCTTTCAAGAACAAGGGCTGGGCAGTGTTTTTCTCATGCCCCTGGATGTGCTGATTACCTGCTGGCATGAGGCTTTTCCTCCAGTATGTGGGCTGTTTTTTTGCTTTTTTCTCTACTGGGTTTTTGATAGCATCTACCTGGACAGACTGCTGGATGGTGAACGCTGATGATTCCCTGGAGGTAAGATCGGGGTGAAGAGAGCCTGATCACCGAAACAAATGTCTCCTAGAGATAGTTTGGTTCCTGGCATCATTACTCTCTTGTATTTTTCCCTGTTGTGCTGGATGAAAGTAGATGAAAATGAAATGAGTGACTCTGGCAAGAGCAGGGGCAAAGTGGTATTTTGTGCAATTCTCTCTGCCAGATTTATTATCTGCTCTCAATTGGTAAGTTCAGGAAAGGTCTACAGGCTCTAGGTTTAAATGTGCAAGAACTTGAGAACAGTTATCTTGCATCTCCAGCCTGCATGGATATTTTGGAGATGTTTCTAGTTCTGTAGATCAGACTTTGTGGTGGAAAAGTCTAGTGTGTACACCTGTGCTCTTCACGTCTTTTTCTTAACAGCCATTGAGCTATAGGGCTAGCAGAAATTTGTGGGACCATGGAGACTGGTGCCAGATCCAGCACTCAAAAATATCTTCTTGTACTTGTGCAGACAGTAGCATTCTCATCTTAGAGAAAGGTATTGAGAAAAGTTCAATGCAAAAACGGAACAGAATGGTGCTTACATGCAAGGTGTGCCTCAGAGACTCCAGACCCCAAACCATCGCCGTTTCTCCAGCGCTTAGTTGTGCAAGTTTGTATTTCCCTTCCCAGAGCAGCCAGCACGTTCTGTACAGTTAAGGGCTGTGTGGGAATCTGCTTTCTGGCAAACTGGATACTTTATGCAGTGAAGGTGAAACACTTTCCAAGACAGAGTTTGGCTGAATATATCAGGAGGAAATTTTCTATCTGCATAGGAAACCAGAAGAGCTCCTCTGCACTCAGTGATTGCAATGCAACCCTTAGCTGCATCACATCCTGTGATGAATGATCTGAGGAAAGGAAGATAAAACTGATTACAAGGAAATTACCTTTTTTTTTTTTCTCTGTGCCATAAGAACTCCTGACAATCTGGCTGCCAGTCCCACCTTGGAAGCTGGTTGTAAATGGTCAGCGTGTCTGCTCAGTGAGCCTCAGTGCACCCACTGAAGCTGGCTGGGATATCACTCTTCATTTATCATCTTAAGTTAGGAGATATTTTAGATTCATTTCAGGAAGATGTGAATTGTCTGTAGACAGCTGAAGATATCAGCATACTCAGAAAAGCCAAATGGATCCCAGATTGTGGGAAAATCAGAAGAGGGAAACCCAACTCCTGAGCCAAGTAAGTCCAGGAAAGATCCAGTCCCTCACCCTGGGGCTGTGTAACCTCCTCTTCTTGACAGAAAGGCACCTGTGCCGGGCTGTTGTGAAGTGCTCCATTAACACCCAATAATGGAGCAAAACGCCCCCAGCCTTAATACCTGACCACCACTGATCTCCTTAATGGCCCTAATGACTCACCGCCTCTCCAAACAGGAGAATGCAGGTAAATCATCCATGGCCAGAAAGGCCTGGAGTCCACAGTGACTCCTGTTTTCCCCTGGAAAAAGGGTAATTCCAGGCAACTTTGACTTCAGGAGAAAGGAACTCCAATCCTCCAGCATAGAAAGTCGCCTGGCTTTGACCCTGGCCCTGGCGGCTGGGCAGGATGAAGCCCTCACTGTGGTCCCACTGGAGAGGAGAAGCCCAGGAGAAAGAGGCCAGGGAGCGTTGGGAGCAGCTGGGTCCCCACCAGCGTTCAGGTCTCACAGCCCCTCACCTGCCCTTCAGAAACAACTGGGTTTTGGCACCACAGAAAGTGGTTTAAGCCGGTGCACTCCGTGTGAGCATCGAGACAAGACTGGGTCAATTTTTGCAGTAGTTTGAGCAGGAAAAAACTCATAATCTGCTTCCCAACAAGCACTGTATTGTGTACACAGTCCCTCCCTGTCGCAAGAGGATTAAAGATATTACCACTACTGTTAAACGCTGCCTGTTTTAATCTCATGCTGAACTTGTAATCATTGTATGTTGGCACCTTTATACTGTGCGGTAAAATACTGTGACTAACATCGCTTACATGTTTGTCTTCTGCCTTTCCCCAGAAGGGGAAGTGTGTGCTTGTTCTGTCATTTTTTTGTATTAGAATTATTTTACTATTAATTATACATTATACATAGGATATAATTATATATATTACAGTCATTATGCAGTTTATGTTTTACATGCGTACTTGCATTAGGGAAAGCAGGTCGTGGCAATGTGTGTTTCGTAATCAAAGTGGGAGATGAAGAGTTTGGCCATGATGCTTGGCTTCTCAGGGAGTCCTCGGCTGGGCCCAGAGAAGCTGGAGCAGATTTGCTATGGGGGAAAAGAGGTGATGGGGAATTAGTGCTACCACCATGGTGCTTGAGTCCGGCTGTGGGATGGAGAAATCCATGCCCCAACATGACGACCCAGCCAGCCCTGACCCCTCTCCTGTTCACATCAGCAAGTCTCCGTGTGCCTGAGGGTCTGTGCTATCCTGCAAAACGGCAGATGATGCCCAAGGGGGTTTGGGAGCAGATTAACAATCAGAAAACGGTGCACAAAGCAGAGAGGAGCAAGGGATGGCCAAGGAGCTCAAGAGGCAGATAACAGAAACCGGAATATTTCCGCAGTGGCTCAGGCCAGCCACAGGTCCCCCCTCCGATGTCTGTTCCCATCCCTCCTGCACCAGGCAATGAGACATTCATCCCTGCTTCTGCCCGTGTTCAGCGCTAGCAGGAGTAGGTGACAACTGAAACATGCCAAGAAACACAAAACGTGTATCAAGTTTTTTCTAGTCTGGGAAGGGTGTCGTTTCACAAGCTAGACCATGATCACAACTGGTGCACCTTAAGACCTCTGTTTTGCTTGGAGGCTGACAAAGCCTGGAATCCTCGTAGTCTCTTTATAAATAATTTAGACAAAGATGCTGCTTGTAAGATATAAAAAACGATACTAATGCGAGCAAGTGAGGAAGTAACTGAGAGTATTAGCTGAATACAGAGTAGTATGAATAAGCCTATGGTGGTTTGGGAGGAACATGAAATGATATAAATACAAGTGGAACAAAATGTAATTTAATAAAAATATGCTAATTTCAAGCACAGCCTGAACGTTGGCGAGTTAAGACAGAAGAGGAGCTACAGCTGGTTTAAGAGGGCCATGGTAAAAACTTACATCTAATATAAACATGGCAAATTGTTTTACATGACATTGTTCACTTGAAAACCACAGAATCAATGAAAACAGTTTTTTGTAGCACTGCTTCTAATTTTTTTTGGTGATATTTTTCATTAAACCTGCCCTGAAATTCTCAGAAATTGTAAGTAGTTTTCACCTTCATGAAACAAGATGCATAGATTGTTTTCATTCAAACATAAAAAGTATCTGGTTTTGCCAGTCTGAAGTAGCAAGTAATTTTTACTCACCTTTTATCCACAGTGCAGTATCACAGAGGAGGTGTACAGTTTGGCTCGGACATTGTATTGTGGAGAAAATATTACGGTTGGCTATGGACTTCAATACCTCCTGAATGAGACTTTATTGAGTGGCTGAGATATGTTATTATCTGCTTTGTGATTTACAAGGTGCAAGAGAAATGAATTTATTGTGTCATCCAAGCAAGCTTAGTCCCTTTCCCCCACATGAAACCCATTCCCAGGGAGAGTTTCTCCTTCCATTAACTGCAGTGGGTGTTGTTGGCAGCAGCAGGGCAGGCTGGAGCCCAAAACTGCACCGACATTAACTCTGCTCCCTGTATGAGCAACTCCAGGAATGTTTTAGAGGTGCTTCGTGCCATATTTGCATTGGTAATGAAAATAACTCCCATATTAAAGAGCTTTATGGAAGGCTGGGCTGGGAATGGTATCTACGGCTTCAGGACAGCGGAGACGATGAGCCATGATGCTACTGCAACATCTGCCCGAGTCTGGATGTCTCAGCGATGAGTGTGGCTCAGGCACGCGTGGTCCCATAGCCGGCAGCGCACCGGGAGCCCCAGGGCCAGGATCAGCTCCACTTGCCTCTCCTTTTCCAGTCAGTGTTTACGGCTGAGTCATTTGGGGGCAGCCCTCCACACGTGTCTGGAGAGGGGCTCACGTCCACACCTCCGCTCTGCACCAAAGCACTCCTCCACCGCCCCGTGGCCACCTCCCACGCCTGCCCCACCAGACACGGTCCCCTCTGCGCCGCTCCTCAGCAGGAGGATGGTGTGAGGGGAGCGTGGAGAGTAAAGTCTCAGGTCATCTGGTTCACAGCCCTGCCCGGCTCATCCTAGACAAGCATTTGGCAAGGCGTGATCAAATCTGCTCTTAGATCTCTCCTGTCAGCCACCCCCCAGCTCCTCCCAGAAGTTTCCTTCAGAATTTTTATCCTTACCAAGTTTTTTTTTCCTCATGTCCAGTCTGAATTTCTTTTGCTTTAATTTAAAACCATTAGCAGGGACGTAGAAAACATTGTCCTTTTTCTCCATCCTGCTGCTGTTGTTCTTCTTCAAGCTAAACAACTCTGGTTTGCCATGGACATAACTGGACCAGGATTTCTGTTGAAGGCCCTAGCTGAGCATCCGCTGTGTTGGTGGATATATTAACTTACAGTTTTCTTTCTCTTCTCAACCCACAGGTAAGTACAAAATGCCGTGGCCTGTGGTGGGAATGTGTCACAAACGTTTTTGACGGGATCCAAACATGTGATGAGTACGACTCCATCTTCGCCGAGCACCCTGGTACGTCAGAGTCAAAGACATTTCTACAAGTGGTGGGGACACCTGAGTGTAGTCAAAAAGAGCATCTATAGTACTCGGTGACAGATAATTTGGTGCACATACATATTAGAGCCATAGTTGTTTTCTCAGGG